CGTTTCTTTTCCACCTCGCTCGATGCTGGCTTTGAAATTGGGAAATTCGCGCTGAAAAACGTGGATCTTTGGAAGGAAGAGATCGAGAGATTTCAAAAACCGATTTTACACTCACTTTTGTTACCGGATTGGTTTGTTTCGTTTCAAAAATTTCACTTTAAATTCAGGACTTCGAAATTTGAAGAGAATAGGGGAAATTTAGGTTCAAATCGTGTCTCCTCAATGAATTGTACTTCATTTCGGACGGCTCAACTTTGTGGTAAAAGTCTAGATATGATTTTTGTTCTTGCTCTTGTTCAATATTGAGAAAATTAGATAATTTCGAGAAAATCGTGAATTAAGGTTCGAATTCGATGAGAATTGGCGTAAAGACGAGCCGGGAATGAGCGATTTCACCGCCGATCACTACAAAGAGTTTGGCCGTTTCGGATACGTGGAATGTAAGTGATTTGATTTTGTTTTTATTTTCTATTTCTATTTCTTCACTAGGTTAGCTAGGTTGGTTTGAAGCCCTAGGTTAGCTTGAAGCCCTAGTTTAGCTTGAAGCCCTAGGTGGCTGGAAGCTCTAGTTTAGCTTGAAGCCCTAGTTTAGCTTGAAGCCCTAGGTGGCTGGAAGCTCTAGTTTAGCTTGAAGCCCTAGTTTAGCTTGAAGCCCTAGGTGGCTGGAAGCTCTAGTTTAGCTTGAAGCCCTAGTTTAGCTTGAAGCTCTAGTTTAGCTTAAAACCCTAGGTTAGCTTGAAGCCCTAGTTTAGCTTGAAGCCCTAGGTGGCTGGAAGCTCTAGTTTAGCTTGAAGCCCTAGGTTAGCTTGAAGCTCTAGTTTAGCTTGAAACCCTAGTTTAGCTTGAAACTAGTTTAGCTTGAAGCCCTAGGTTAGCTTGAGGCCCTAGGTTAGCTTGAAATTAGATAAAATTCACCCTTATTCGTCCGGGATTCAAGTCAAATCCCTAGTTTCTGTGCCTCATTCCTAAAAACGAACGTTTGATCTAATATTAAGGAAAAGAAGTTGCCAGTTTCAGCTTTTCGCTGAAAATGAGCTTGATCTTTATTATAAATCGCGCTGGGCTTGCGCTACGCGGCCGCATGGAGAAATTCTCCATATATAAATTGTCCTATCCAAAAATATAGCACAGATCGAAATTGGTCAACTGGGACCGAACCCTGGAGTAGCGACTACGCGCCATTTCGTTTGGTTTACTAACTCGCACATAGACCCGTTTGCCAACTGCCAACTGGCAGTCTGACTCGAATCTGACTTTAGATTAGGCATCAGCATAGTCGAAAACCCCTGTGTCAATTTCCATCCCGAAAAATAGATTCCCTGCTTTTTTTGACAGACGAGCATTTCATAATTATATAATTCAAAGACAATTCAAAGACAGGCAAAGAATAACATAGAATTCTTTCATAGAATAACAAAAAAAGTTAAACAATAACCCGCGCTCTGGATCCGATCTCGATCTCCGAGCCCACGAGCCCCGGATCTGGAGACCAGCGCGCTATCCCCTCGGCCACACCTGCTCCTTCACGCCTCGAAAAATTTTCGTGTGCACGGACGGACGGACGGACAGATAGACAGCTCTCAATTATATATAGTAGATAAAATTTCAGCCTGGGAGTACCTGATGGTGAACACGTACGATGTGCACTTCTACGCGAGTTGGGCTCTTTTCGAATTGTGGCCCCAACTTGAGCTGGGCATTCAACTGGATTTTTGTGAGTGACAATGAACTGAAAATGAGGGCAGTTTATAAAACCATCAAAACCTATCGTAATCTACTTTTTATACCTGAAATAGTAACGCCGTAGCGTCGAGTATAGGAGCGTCGCGTAGTCTAAGTTTGCTCTCAAACAAACGCTCATATCTCGACATCAGTACGTCTGTTTCTACACATTTAGGTATCAAATTAAAGTAGAGAGAATGGGTGATCTTTTGAGATATAAAATGTAGTTTTAGCATTAACCAGCGCTTAGAATAAAATGATTGAAAAATGATGGAAAATCGTCTGAAAGAAAAATCGTTTTTATTTGTCGGATTCGTTTTTAAGAGATTCCAGTTCAAATCTATGCAATTTTCTTGCCCCTAATCGATTCTTATCTCTAAGAGGCTCATTTAGCTGATCAATTCCGAGCGATCAACCTCACATCGACGCAGGCGCTGCAGGGTGGAGAGGCGATGGTACAGAAGAAAACAGGGCGGATCCCGCACGATGTCGGGAATCCAAGTGGGTAAAACGATCCAGAACAATCTTTAAGATAAAGATCCAGAATACCTACCGTAAATACTGTAATAATACCCCACCCCCCATCGTACAGTCGCGTAGTCGCAAAAGTTTTTTTAGTATTTCATTGTTTTTCAAAGCGCCCGTACTTTCAAAAAATGTGTTTTTGGTATCAAAAAATAGCCCTGAATTTCAGCTATTTTTTGATATCTAAACGAGCATCATATCATAAACCAGTGTCGAGAAAAACTCATTCAAAGCTAGACTACGCAACGCTCCGCACCGTCATTATGGGGCTGGGGTACTATTACAGTATTTACGGTAAGTATTCTGTCTGCACAATCATCGTAAGTATTTTGCTAATGTGGTATTATACAACTTTGAATGTTTATTTAGGCTTATAGTTAGTTCTAGGATAAACATACGAAAGCTGTCAAAGCACGGACATCTTCCCCGCAATCATCGTACCGTAAATACTGCAATAGTGTCCCGCTCGTACAGTCGCGTAGTTTTTTTAGTATTTCATTGTTTTTCAAAGCGCCCGTACTTTCAAAAAATGTGTTTTTGGTATCAAAGAAAGCCCTGAATTTCAGCTATTTTTTGATACCTAAGCGAGCTTTGTAGCATAAACCAGTGTCGAGAAAAACTAGTTCAAAGCTAGACTACGCAACGCTCCGCACCGTCATTATGGGGCTGGGGTGCTATTACAGTATTAATTTTCAGAAGGAGAACCGTGGCTAGAGGTAAACGCCTATTCTCTGCACGATACGAATGAGTGGAAAGATCTCAATCTCAAGTACATTTTGCTTTCTTATCGAGACTTTCGCGGAATCGTCGAGAAGTGTTTCGATAAAGAAAAGGTTGATTTCTATGAATTTATTCTTAAAGTCTCCCCATTTTTCAGTCAAAACAATTCCTCGAGTTTTTCTACGATCGATCAGTGGAGATCATCGAAAGAGGCTTGATGGAATGGGATACGGTAGATAAATAGGTGTTAGGATAAGCTGTGTTTAGGATAAAGACGGAATCATCGAGAACAACGGCACACCCGATCAGACATACGATATTTGGTCGATGAATGGCACTAGGTAAGGTCTACAAAAAGCTACAATAGCTACAAAAAGCTTCTCCAATTTCAGTGCCTATTGTGGAAGTCTTTGGGTGACAGCCGTGGAATGTGTTCGTCGAATGGCCGAACAACTCGAGAAAGATGACGATCGGAAAAGATTCACCGATTTGCTGCAAAAAGCTCGTACGGCACTTGTGGGAAAATTGTGGACGGGAAGGTGAAAGAAGCATTTATTGGCCTGGTCTAAAAGCTACCTAGCCTGGTCTAAAAGCTACCTGGCCAAAAACCACCCCACCCGGGCTTAAAACCACCCTAGCCTGGTCTAAAAGCTAGTCCCGTTATTTAATAAGCTACCGTACTTCATACGGCTGTTAAACCTAATCACAAATGGCTTATTTAGAGTTTAAATTTTCAAACGGTTGACTCACCGAGCAGTAAATTTGAATACGTTTTGATTTGAATACGATTTGATTTGAATTTAAAATAAGAACGGTAGTAATGAGTACAAAATAGGGGAATAGTGAGTATGGTAGCGATGAGGACAGAATACGGTAGGGGCTTTAAAACCGGATTACTGTCGCTTTTTCTCAAGCACTTTAACCAAGAAAGGCACAATTTCGTTAACACTGACTTTTAGCTATTTTGCTTTCGATGAAAATCCCGATAATCGCTCACTTGTGATGAGCGATCAATTGTGCGGCTTTTGGTTTCTTTCGTTGATTGACGGGGAAATTTGTGGAGACGTTTTGGGTGAAAATGGTGGGAAAATGATCGACGAAGCATTGAAAACGATTTACGAAAAAAATCTGAAATCGGTTTTCGATGGAGAACTGGGACCGATCAATGGAATCAGGTACGGGAAATTCGTTTATAAGAATTTAGAAACAAAATATCATATTCCTGTTAAAACAATTACCATATTCCTATTCCTAAAACATTTTACATATTACCGTAACCTTTGACGCTATTTTGTTTAACTTTTGCTACCGTAACCCTACAGTAATATAGTGGACTAGTTCAACTTATGGTTACGGTAGCAAAAAGTCAAACAAAGGCACAGGTACGGTAATGTGGTTCCAGAACGAACGGCCAAATCGATTTGGGAAGCATTCAAAGCGAAGAGATTTGGTCAGGGGATCGCTTATGCTCTCGCCACATTTCATTTCCTTAAAAGCGACATTGTGAAAGGACTCGAGTTCGCGAGCGGAATCTTTCATAGTTGCTACGAGCGGTTCGGATTGCAATATCAGGTGGGTAAAGCTGAGCAGCCAAGAACTTTTTGTAAGTGAAAGTGTTCTGTACCTTGTAGAAGATCTGGGTCAAGTTTTCTCTAAGTAGAAGATCTGGGTCAAGTTTTCTCTAAGTAGAAAACTGTACTTAGAGTACTGTAATCAAAAGCGTCTCAAAAATATCAGCCAGACTCCTAGCCAGTCAAAAAAAATTCCGAAAAGATCAGTCTTGTTTTCTAAATCGTGCTTTTCTCACAAAATTCATCTCTACATCTTATTTTAGACCCCAGAAGCAATTTTCCCGAAGAACTACTATCGAGCGATTGGCTATTTAAGGCCACTTTCCATTTGGGCCACACCAAGTGCGTTGAAAATTAAAATGAATATAAATAAAGACGAATAAATTATCGATTTACAATTTAATCAAAGAACAAAATGCAATGAGTTTATTATTTCCTCAAAAAGTTTTCAATTTCAATTCATATGATCATTTGGCTTTGGCTTTGGCTCATTTCGTTGTTCTCTCCTTGTGCGCTGGCTTTCCCAAGAATCGAATAAGTTATGAAGACGAGTATGGCGATCACCACTGCCTAAAGAATACATTACAAAAGCAAATGCCAAGAAGTACTATAAATAAACGCTTGACCGTAACCGTTATCTGATCTTAGAAATAGCTTAGTTATCAGCTATCTACCAATCCTGAGAGCTAATATTTTAAAGCTGCTTATTGCCATAGTTTTACAAAACCCACTCTCAATCCTGGGGACAATTGGAAGTAGAAATCGGAGATCGCGTTCACGACTTCGCGCACATCAATCGTCTGCCAACGCTCGGAACTAAAAAGCAGAATTAAAACTGCACTTCTAGGTCAATTTCTTACAGTGCAAAACTTTAACTTTAACAAAACTGAAAAACAAAACTTTGTCAGTGTAAAACTTTAAAAACTGACTCGCTGCTGGATGCGATGCCGTGTCTGGACTCGTTTTGCTTGGCAAGCGCGTCGAGGATGAGCTGCTTGGTGGGTGGATTGCTTCCATTGCACACAACGTCCTCATTCACAAAACACTAAATAACAACGTTTATGTAAATTAAGACTACCATGCTATTCTAGCAATTAATAATAAAAACCACCGTCAAACGCGTCGAACAACGATCCTCGAGTGGCGATTGCCCATCGGAGCCACTCTGATCTCGGAACTGAAAAAACAATTTGTCAAAGTTGTTATCCAAATGGTTTTATAGAAATAGTTTTAAAAACAATGTAAAAGCAAAACAAACATTTGTAATTAGAAGAATTTTTGCCGATGAGATCTCGTTCCAATTGCTCGAATAAGAGGGCAACTGCCAAGTGAGAAAGAGGCGAGCCTGACTTTTCGCCGCAATATTTCCTGATCCGGCTGGTGTTGCCTAAAAAGGAAACAGTATGTATGGTAGTAAAAGATAAAGCGAAACACTTACCATAAATAATCATATTAAGCTAAAAATTTAACAAATTAAGCTCATTAACTTTTAATCGAGGCAAGTTGAAGTACAGTCGATTTTTCTTAAGCGCAACTCTTAGAAAACTTAAAGATTAGCCAAAAAAAGGCTTATTTTGACCTTATCAAAGCTGCATTATTTGAACTAGCTAAACTAATTTATAATTTAGTTTATAAGTACCGTAAATACGCTAATAGAAGCCCCCTATAGAAGCGTTGCATAGTCTAAGTTTACTCTCAAACAAACGCTCATATCTCGACAGTGGTACGTTTGTTTCTACACGTTTAGGTGTCAAATTAAAGTAGAGAGAATGAGTGATTTTTTGAGATATTACACATATTTTTAGCATTAACCAGCGCTTAGAATAAAATGATTGAAAACTGGCAAAAAAAGACGATTTTTCATCATTTTTCAATCATTTTATTCTAAGCGCTGGTTAATGCTAAAAATATGCGTAATATCTCAAAAGATCACTCATTCTCTCTACTTTAATTTGATACCTAAATGTGTAGAAACAAACGTACTGATGTCGAGATATGAACGTTTGTTTGAGAGTAAACTTAGACTATGCAACGCTTCTATAGGGGAGCTTCTATTAGAGTATTTACGGTGACAAGTCTTCTACAGCCTTACTGAAACATTCTTTGCCTATCAAAATCCAAAAGTAAACACTAACCGAAATACTAGTCGAGCTGCATTTGAGTGTGAAGAAGACGGGTCTCTCGTAGGCGTTACAAAGCACAAGTTGCACCCGAGCCGCTCTTCGTTGATCGTCGAGAGTCGTGAATTTGAGTGTTGTCGCCTTTTTGTGTTCGGGTGGCATTTGCTGCGAGCATTTTGGAGAAAGACCTAAAATGTAAACTTTAAATATATACATAATTTTTCGACCAACGAATGGTTTACCATACTACTATCTAGAAAAAGAAGATTCATTAGCAAACACAAATTTAAAAACAAGCTTTTATTATGTTATTATCGTCACAAATCAAGTTTAATTGTTTTTTAAGTAATAAAACAAACACATGTAAAAGTTCTTTTGAGGCTTTTGAAGAAAAATGTCCAAATCTATCCAAAATAATTGATATCTCAAAGAATCTACCTCCTTTCCTGCTCGTAGAACTCGTCAAGCTCAATTCATCTTTCATTTGAACGTTGATACTAAAAGAAAAGTAATAAAATAAGCAAAGAACACATGTAAGTTAAAATAGAATCAAACTGGAAAAATCGTTATTTTCAACTCTAAAGCTCAATTTGAAAACTAAAAACGAACCTGGAAGACGTGAAAGAGGGCTGCATTCTGACAAGTGGAAAATGTGAATAATGAAGACAAGTGTGTGAATTGAAAAGTATAAAATGAAAAGGAATGGGAAGAAAAAAGACAAAAAGACACAACTTGCATGCAAATTTCGTCTTAAAGACAAATTTTTGAGAGAAAAATGGAGAATTCAGTGAGCTAGAAAGGGTTTATTCGCATACATATAACAAATGATGTGCCAGAAAGAATCCGTTTCTATTTTTTGAGAGCAATATGTACAGTGGTTCACAAAAAGTAATGCCCCATTGCCATTCAAAAGTATTTTTGCAAAATTTCGGGGTGGGACAAATGCGACCTTTTTTTGCGCACCTGGACATTTGCGCACCTTTTTGCTGGAAAAGGCCTTAGGCAAGGCCGTAGAGCTTCGAGAATATTTCGAAAATATTTTCATATAAGGGAATCGTATGCGTAGATTCCGAATTTCGACAAATCAGACCTCGCTGACACGTCAACTTTGGGCTAAAAGGCAAAAAACTACGCAACTTAACGCTTTTCCGCAGTTTTTGCCTTTTAGCCCAAAGTTGACGTGTCAGCGAGGTCTGATTTGTCGAAATTCGGAATCTACACATACGATTCCCTTATATGGAAATATTTTCGAAATATTCTCGAAGCTCTACGGCCTTGCCTAAGGCCTTTTCCAGCAAAAAAAAGGTGCGCAAATGTCCAGGTGCGCAAAAAAAAGGTCGCATTTGTCCCACCCCCAAAATTTCTCCTAAAAACATGTATTTAAAATATATATTTTTTTCTTTTAAAATACTTTAGAAATTCTAGTTGTAAAATAACTGGATTTTTTTGATTGAGATCCTTCCAATCAAAAGATCGATGTGGAAGAGTGCAATTACCCATAAAATGTGTTTAAAATATTCTAAAGGCCTTCAAGTAGCTTTGCAAGTTTATTTACTTACTCTAGAAGCTGGAAGAGAATGTTTTAATGAAGAGTAGGTTAAAGTGACTCCTCCCGAAGACATACAAGGTGAATTCTTTCCTCATTTGTTAACCGTTTACTTTAAGGATGCTTTTAAAACTTTTGCTGGCGGCGAAATAAAACATACGAAAGCTGTCAAAGCACGGACATCTTCCCCGCAATCATCGTACCGCAAATACTGTAATAGTGTCCCGCTCATACAGTCGCGTAGTCGCAAAAGTTTTTTAGTATTTCATTGTTTTTCATTTTCATTGTTTTGAACGGATTGTTTTGAACGCATATTAAATCTCGCACAATAGGCGTTCGCCCACAAAGGTGTCTGTCTAACCATTTCCATCCGTGGTGATCTCGATCACGAGATCGTCACGACAGGTATATTAAGATAGATATTAGTGACTAGTTTGCATTTGAATCTCCAATTGAATCTCCAATTACTGTGATGGAAAGTTTGAAAGATTTTTGACACAGCAGAATGCTTCAAATTTTAAAAACCATTAATTTCTCTTTTTGTTTAGATTTTGAATCCTTCCTGAAATTTGTAGCATTTCCGAAGAGCCACGGAAAGCCTCCAAACCTTCAAAACACTTTAAAAAGCCCTCTCTAAACGTGGTTCCATGGTGTAGCGGTTAGCACTCAGGACTTTGAATCCTGCGACCCGAGTTCGAATCTCGGTGGAACCTAGTTCTTTTGCTTGTTTTGAAAATTTTCATTTCAGCGTTGGTTAATCATTTTCTAAAGTTTTGCTGGCCATTTGAACTCTGGTAACTTTGATTAGTTTTAGAAATTTAATCCTCTTTATTTTAATAGGTTTCAATAAATATTTATTGAGCAAACAGAATCATTACTTCACAATGGCTCGATCTTGATCGCTCATCTCCTTAGGCTTTTCCTTATGCACGTCCTTAGGCATGTCCTAAAGCTCACAGGATTTTCAGGTTACAATCAGTGGACTCACAATGTGAACTCGATTCAAAAGCTCATCGTATTGCGAAGTGTCGAAGCCTAGAGCGAGCCTTGCCGCGTGTTCAGCACTTCCCCATCCAAGGGTGAAACCATTCCCACCGTGCCCGTAGTTATGAACAATCTGGATAAGTAATTCTAGTTAAGCGTTTAATTTAAGCAATTACAAGACTGTAGTCTATGCAAATTTGTAAACAAATCTACAATAATCTTTTAATTTTTAGGAATCTTTTGAAAAAGGAAAAACCTATGAACGCTATTTTTAGCTCTGAGTCTTTTACTGTGAAAACTACTACTCAATCAAACTTGTTTCTGCTTAAAGTAACAAGAAATTTGTTCAAATGACCCAGATGACCCTCATGTGCAAGACCCTCATGTCCAAGACCCTAATGCCCATGATGCTCATGCCCATGACCCTCAGGCCCATACCCTCAGGCCCATACCCTCAGGCCCATACCCTCAGGCCCATGATGCTCCTGCCCATGACTCTCAGGCCCATACTCTCAAGCCCATACCCTCAGGCCCATACCCTCAGGCCCATACCCTCAGGCCCATGATGCTCCTGCCCATGACTCTCAAGCCCATACTCTCAGGCCCATACCCTCAGGCCCATACCCTCAGGCCCATACCCTCAGGCCCATGACTCTCAGGCCCATACCCTCATGCCCATGACCATCATGCCCATACCCTCAGGCCCATGACCATCATGCCCATGATCCTCATAAATACTGTCAAAGGGATAAACCGGTTGAGGAGTTTCCTGTTTATCGCTTATCTTTGATTCCTCCAGCTCAATCAGACATATAAAAGAGTCCATTCCAGTCCGTTCAGCTGACTGGGTTGGACTAATAGATAGACTAATAGAGCTGACTTTCAGTTCATAACCTGACTGAGTGACTATGAAAAACTGGGTGAACGAATCTTTACCAAACAGTAACCAAACAAACCAAACTGTTTCTTGGAACTGGTGAAAGAGTAGGAAAGTTGCTTAAAACAATGCATACCCTGTACTCATTTCCATTTGTATTGTTCCTTGTCTCAGCCTTAACTCTCGCTCCGCCCACGCGAGCCGGACGAAGACCGACAAAACGATCGATGATCTCTACGTCCTGGAATAAGTGAGCCTTGGTTGTCAAAAAGCCAAAAAGCCAAAAATTGATTACATTATAAGCCAAGAGCTTTATTAGAGCTTGGCTTTTTAAAAAATTAATTGAAATTCTTGAGAAAGTTTTTGTTAAAGCCTTTCTATAGAGGCCGCAAAATTGTCTCGCAGTTTTTTGGCTATATTTTGGCTGTAGTTTTGTGAATTGCTTTAATTCCTTTCTAATATGAAAATTGTGATAATTTTCTATAAAGAATTTCTTTCTACAAATGGTAGAACGCTTTTGAGATTTTTATTAAAGCCTTGGAATGATGCGCTCAAAATTCTCCGCAATCTGCAGCTTTTCTTGAGCAGGAAAGGGGCGGTGACTCATCCCCATCCTGTCCACACATGAAACGGGAAAAGTGGGCAAAGGGGCTAAAGAAATAACGGAATTATTGAAAAGTAGAACTGCTGGTGACATTCAGAGCCTAGTTTTCGAGCCTAGAGCCTAGTTTTCGAGCCTAATGTTTTCTTTTTTGCCTCTGTTGGTTGTTTTCTTTGCCTTTTTCGGCCTAGAGCCAGTTTTCGAGCCTAGAGCCTAGTTTTCGTGCCTAGAGCCTAGTTTTCGTGCCTAGAGCCTAGTTTTCGAGCCTAGAGCCTAGTTTTCGTGCCTAGAGCCTAGTTTTCGTACCTAGAGCCTAGTTTTCGAGCCTAGAGTCTAGTTTTCGGCCTGATGCTTATCTGACAATTTGTCTACTAGGCAAATTGATGTTTGATATTGTTACTATGGTACATTTTCTGCATTATTCTATGGATTTGATTCCTTCCTACTTTTGATTCCTTCCTACTTGAGCACCACTGGAAAAGATTCATTGAACTCATTCATTTCAATTGAAATTCATTCATTTCATCCATCCAGAGCTCTCATATGCTTTATTTGACTCTTCTTCTTGTTTAAAAAGCTCAAAACAAATGTTTTTTTGAACAAAAATATTCAACCAGGTGGTGTTTTTATGAGGAAAAAGATGAGCTTTTATGAAATGAAACATGCAATCGGCTTCTTGACGATGAATTTTTCTTGAAACTTTCAAATTTCATTGTTTTAGCTTGAAGTTAACTTCAAAAATTATCCAAATTAGACTTCGGCAAACAAAACCAAAACCAAAACAGACCAAAACCAAAACCAAAACAGACCAAAACCAAAACCAAAACAGACCAAAACCAAAACCAAAACCAAAACCAAAACACGACCTCGAAATTTCGAAACAAAAAATAGCCTATGGGATAGATTTTTGGATGCTGATTTCAAATCTGCAAACAGATTTTCGCTAGCTCCTCCCAGTCGCGAGATATTGGAGAGTTTTGGTTAGTTTTGGTTAGTTTTGGTTTTGGTTTTGGTTGTGGTTTTGGTCTGTTTTGGTTTTGGTTTTGTTATGGTTTTGGTTTTGGTAGTTTTGGTTTTGGTTAAGTTTTGTTTTCCGAAGTCTAATCCAAATGTTAGCTTAAAGCTTAAATTTATCAAAAAAAAAGCGAGAAAACTGATAGCATTTTGAAAAGGAAACTAGAAAAAGCTTGAATAAATAAGTAAAGTTGCGTACTAAGGGTTTTTTTGGCCGAATCTTTCAAGCCTTTGTAATAGAAAATATCACAATTTTTAGATTAAAAATGAATTAAATCGTTTCGCCAAGCTACAGCTACAGATATTGCTCAAAAATTGCGATAAGTTTCGGCAATTTGACTCAAACTCACCTTGAACGCTGGCTGCAACTCGAGATATGCACCCCAGATTTTCTCAATCGATTCCTCATCGATGACGAGTGAATCATTGTGTTCCTCTTTGATTGTCCCAACGTAAACGGCATCAATTCTGGAATGAAAGGGATAGGAAAGGATAATGTTAGAAAAGGATAATGTTAAAAAAGATAATGTTAAAAAAAGGATAATTTTAGGAAATTTCAAATTTATTGGGTTGGTGAATTGAAAACCGCCGTCTATTGTCATAAGTCACAGTTTAAGCACTTTCTTCAAAAGAAACCCATTTTGGTGTCAATGGAAAAGTTGTAGAGAATCAAAAATTAAGCTTATATCCAAATTTTCAGAACGATTCAAAAACTGGTTTTCAAGAAATGTCAAATTTACGAATTTTCACAAAACTTGGAACAAAACTTGCATTTTAAGCAAAACTACTAAGCGTATCTTTTGGAAATTTCGCTATAAGCCTAATTTTTTATTCTCTACAACTTTTCTATTGACACCAAAATGGGTTTCTTTTGAAGAAAGTGCTCAAACTGGGACATCTCGACATCTTTCAGTCCTCCATTTTCGAGTCTCACACTTGTCTCACACACAAACCAAAGTCCTACCACGAAAGAGGAATCCGCAAATTGCCTGTGAAATGGGCAGAAGTCGTCAATAATAATGGAAATTATTTGGAATGAATTGATGATTTTATGCTGAATAAATTTTAGTTCAAAGTCCGGCAGTTTTCAATTCACCAATTCAATTCACCCAATAGTGCCCCATCCCCCTCGTACAGTCGTGTTTAGCCATACAGTATACTTTAGTCTAATCTTGTTTTCTGGGATATGGAGAGAGTGGTGTACTGGGAGTTGTTGGATAGCAAGACGACCCTTAATGCAATCAAATCATGTTGCAAAACTGACTCGCTCTAAAGTAAATAGCCTTGTTTGGGCACTTTTGGCGCATTCCCCATACAGTCCGGACCGCGGCCCCTTATGATTACTATTTATTTCGGACCATGAGTAATGAGCTTGCGGGAGAACACTTCGATTCGGAAGAAGCAGTCAAAAATTGGATATTCTCAGAGGTTAACCATTCAACTAAGATTTACAGATTGTCAACAAAATGTCTGAAGCAGCAGTCTGAAGCTGTCTGAAGCTGTCTGAAGCAGGAAAGGCCACAAGTTTGGAGAGAGATCGCTTGTGAGAAGGTAATGCTTTATGTTTTTAAGTTTAAAATTAATCCAAATGAATTTAATGTTAAAATTTGTGCCCCAGAATCGTCGAAAATCGTTTGTTCCAAGAAATGTTCCAATAGAATCGAATTGGCTTTGAGTTTTGCTAGCCAAGCTTTGATAGCTTAAATGATAGCTTTTCATGATGAAAATACTGTCAAAAGATCAAGATTTCTGAGAGGAACCGATATAAAGTTCAAAGTTTAGTTCAAAGTCCAGTTCAAAGTCCAGTTCAAAGTCCAGTTCAAAGTCCAGTTCAAAGTCCAGTTCAAAGTCCAGTTCAAAGTCCAGTTCAAAAGTCCAGTTCAAAGTCCAGTTCAAAGTCCGGCAGTTTTCAATTCACCAACCCAATCCTTTCATTTTCAAGTTTTCAACTCTTACACGGGAATCGTGAAAGTGGTGAAATCTCTGTAGAGAAAATGTTTCTGCCAACTCGCGTTTGTTTTCAGCAAAAGCCCACGAATCGGGTACATTTTCTTTTCATCGCCATCGGCTGAAATGTCAATTTTTCCTTGTTTTTGCTCAATAGCATTTCAATTTTTTTAAACTAACCAGCCAACTTTCCTCCAGCAAGCCCACCACAGTTTACCACAACATCGTAGCCGTCATCACCGAGCTGAACGTGAAACTGATTCAGTTTTCTCAGCTTTAACTTGGCTAGATGACTTTAAATCATGACTCGGCTACCCTAGATTACCTAGATTACCTACCGTACCCTAGATTTGTAACAAAAAAATAGGTCTATCCTTTTTTTCTTGACAATTTAAAGTTTTTCATATTTTTCTCAGCACCAACCTTTTTATTTTGACTATTTTGAATGTCATTTGATGTAGAATCAAATTGCGCATCGAATGATACCAAAATCAACTCAAAATGTAATATCCATGCAAAGTTATGAGCAAAAAATCTTAAATTGTCAACGGCAAAAGGTTTAATGGACGGAGTTTAGGTTTTTAGCCAACAACTTTGCATGGATATTATATTTCGAGTTGATTTTGGTGTCATTCGACGCGCAGTTTTATTCTGCATCGAATGCTAGTCAAAATAGTCAAAATCAAAAGGTTGGTGCTGAGAAAAACCCGAAAAACCTTCAATTGCCGACGACAAAAAAGAACCGACAGATTTTTTTGTTACAAGTTTACCGTACGCATCCCAGTTAGTTATAAAGATAAGATTAAACTTATTTTATGGGTTGGCTTACGATAACTACCGTAAATACTGTAATAGTGTCCCGCTCGTACAGTCGCGAAGTCGCAAAAGTTTTTTAGTATTTCATTTTTTTCAAGGTGCCCGTACTTTCAAAAATGCGTCTTTGGTATCAAAAAATAGCTGAATTTCAGCTATTTTTTTGATACCTAAGTGCGCATTGTAGCATACACCAGTGTCGAGAAAAACGCGTTTAAAGCTAGACTACACCACACTCCGCACCGTCAAAGCTAGACTACACAACACTCCGAACCGTCAAAGCTAGACTACACAACACTCCGAACCGTCAAAGCTAGACTACTTGACACTCCGCACCGTCAAAGCTAGGCTATGTGACACTCCGAACCGTCAAAGCTAGACTACGTGACACTCCGCACCGTCAAAGCTAGACTACGTGACACTCCACACCGTCATTATGCCGGGTACTTTTACAGTATTTAGGTAGGTATGGTTTAGGACGGTCTACTCGAGTCGCCATTCGAAAGCTAGTGTTTTACAGTGTCAATTCTTTTGATGAGTAAATTTATTAACAAACCTCTTCAACACTGTCGATGTGCTGCTTTATATACATGACGTCATAGGTCTCTTCAAGGAGTTTCTTCATCCAAGGAATATATCTAAAATAGAACTTTCATTAAAAATAGCTCAATCTACAGGGTGTGTAAAAAGTTTTGCAACACAGTAAAAGCTCGTTAATAACGGGAAAACTCTTGCAAGGTATCGATTTTATTTCACGGCGTTTATGAATAGATTTGGTTATTGAAATCGAATAGTTTCGGAAGAAAGAGAGACAACGATTGAGGACATCCCGTTTTCTTTTTCTTTTTCTTCTTTGCAAAGTGGGTTTCGTGGAGGCGCGGGCGAAAGAATGCGACCAGACAGCGCCCGCCGACACCAAATTCGACACCAAATTCCCATACAAACGAAAAAATGGCACGTCTAGACGAGACGCGTCTCCTAACATCTAGTTTTGTCTTCATCTTGCAAGATTTAGCACAAATGATTCTTGATCAGCGAAATCCGATAATTGAGGTTTTAGTGAATGAGAATTATGAGGAATTTGTTGTAAGGTGACTAGCGGCAGATTGTGCAATATTTCTGAAGCTGTTTTGATTCGGATTTTGACGAGAATTTTTTAAAAATACCGACTGGGGCTACCAGTGGTGAATTTATCGCATACACGAAATATATCAATCACAATACAACGACACACACAATACTAGGCTATATCTTAACTTAACCCACGTCATGACAGACGGCTCCCTAACCCTAAGCTCAATGGGGAACTAAATAGCTTTTTTGGTGGTGAAGGGAAGATGACGATGAAGGAGTGGCTTGTCACTTTAAAGAACTGGGGCCACAACCACCAGACTGCCCTCCAGAAAACCTCTCAACCCGAAGGGAAAGGAAATCCGAAGGGGGTGACCATGTCGCATGTGGGGTTCGAACCCTCGACCTTCCGATTAAGATAAAAGACACTTAACCAGTCAGCCACACGTGCTCCTAATGAATTGTGACAATTTTAAAGGGCTCTTTGCGGAATAACTTAAAAGATAACAATTTAGAAGATAACAATTTATTTAGAAGATCACAAACAATGTTTAACAGTTTAACAATTGTTTTCGAAATATTCGCCTTGGGCTTGGATGCAAGCCCGGAGTCTTTTTAGGAAACCATCGAAGCATGAAGGTAGGGTCATCCGGTCATCATGACGATGACGTCATTTAGCTCAAGCCTTCTTCAGGACAACACAAAGAGATGCCAAACTTGTGGCTTTGCAAAGCTTTTGCACTTGTGGCTTTGCAAATGCCTTTGTCAGAACTTACTAGATGGAAAAGTCAAGCGGATTCAAATCGGGCAAATCAGGGGGCCATTCTTAGAGTTTTAGAACCAAATTTAGAGAGATAAGGAACCAAATTTAGAGAGACGATTGCAAAAGGACGATTGCAAACAGCTCCGGTGTTTCCAAACCAGTGGAACGAACGATTCGGAGGCGATGAGCAGGTGCTGAGTCTTGCTCATCGCCTTCGATGTGCTGAGTCTTGCTGATAAATCCATCTTGCTGATAAATTTGCTAGGATCGGCTCCAGGGTAAAACTCGGTCCATCAAAACGTCTTTCAAATAATTTTAAGCGTTGATTTTAATTTTAAGCGTTCACTCCAGCTTTGACAAAAAACACAGGCGTCTTGGACATTGCAAAATAGCGTGCTTCGATTAATTTTGAGTTCTTTTGCAATCATCGAGACAAGATTACGATAGTTTTCGAGAATTTTCTTTCAAAACACTCTAACTACTCACCTCGCTCCTTCTGAAGTGAAAGCTGTGTAGTGAATCGCTTTGTACAACTCATCACTGTAATTTTTTATTGAAAGCCGTACCCATTTTGCAAAGAGAGAACCCACTTTTCCAGCTTGAATTGACTGTGTAGCTGCGGATATGTTAAATTGACATAATTGTAGACAACTTGTCCGTAGTTTTCCCACTAAATTCCGACCATTGAAGCCATTGAAGGCGATGAAGTTGAAAGAACTTCACTATTTGAAAAAAGCTTCACTATTTCACAACCTGTGCATCAAGTTTCTCTTGACTTTGACTCAAAATGTGTCCAGAAACCAATTGCACGCCGCTATTGCCGCCGAATTCTCGCCACAATTCAGCCAAACGTTCGAATGTTTGAGCACCGTAAAGTCTAAAGCTTTAAAAATGATAACAGTAGATGGACAGAGTGATCCATAATATGTGTTAAGCCTTAAGATGAAGGCAAACCCAGCTTGTCTAGCTTCTGGAATCTCTAAATCAGGGTTGGTACTAGGCCTAGGCCAGAGCCCAACCAGAAGCTAGCTTAGGGCTTGGCTTCCAATGAGGCCAGGGACTTTTTGTGGGCCGAACAAGTCAAGATCTCTAGCCTATGGTCTAGCCTGCCTTGAAAATTGTCTGATCAGCTGACCGGAAGAATGGTAGGAACAACCCAGCTTGTCTAGCTTCTGGAATATCTAAATACAAGGCTTACTTATAATATGTAGCCTTATATGTGTAATAATCTAGCCTTATGTGAAGGCAGTTTAAGTCGAAAATGCGTTAGATTACTTAAAGTTTGTTGTAATTTCATTTTTCTAACATTTTTACATTTATATACCAATTTTTAACCCGATCAGTCGACTATAAGAAAAGCTAGGGTCATTTTTGTAAACGAGCTTATGCTTTAATGCTGATGCTTTAAAAGCTTTAAAAGCTTAACTAAGCTTAACTAAGCTTATTTGGGTGCTTTAGAAGCTTTAAAATCTTAAATAAGCTTAAATAAGCTTATTTTGAGTGCTTTAGAAGCTTTAAAAGCTTAACTAAGCTTATTTTTGATGCTTTAAAAGCTTTAAAAGCTTAACTAAGCTTATTTTGGGTGATTTAAAAGCTGTAAAAACTTAATTAAGCTTCTTTTGGTGTTTCAGAAGCTTTAAAAGCTTAACTAAGCTTATTTTCGGTGCTCTAAATGATTCCAAAGCTAATAGGCCAAAAGCTTCAAGCAAAAAGTAATCATTTAGACTTTATTAGGGTCTTTAAAACACCAATAAATGAAAATCATTGAAAAGTTCACTGCCTTCACCAGTTTTTATGGACAAAATTATCTGCTAGCATTTATTTACCGAACTTCTAATGACCCTAGCTTTTCTTATAGTCGACTGATCGGGTTAAAAATTGGTATATAAATGTAAAAATGTTAGAAAAATGAAATTACAACAAACTTTAAGTAATCTAACGCATTTTCGACTTAAACTGCCTTCACATAAGGCTAGATTATTACACATATAAGGCTACATATTATAAGTAAGCCTTGTATTTAGATATTCCAGAAGCTAGACAAGCTGGGTTGTTCCTACCATTCTTCCGGTCAGCTGATCAGATCAGTGATTCAGCTGATCAGACAATTTTCAAGGCAGGCTAGGCCATAGGCTAGAGATCTTGACTTGTTCGGCCCACAAAAAGTCCCTGGCCTCATTGGAAGCCAAGCCCTAAGCTAGCTTCTGGTTGGGCTCTGGCCTAGGCCTAGTGCCAACCCTGTTTACAAGATTTCTTTCTGATTTCTTTGTTCAACCTGTTAATGGGCTTTCCATCATCAATTCTAAACAATCCGGCAATTCCGTGTGAGAGAATGTCTTTGAAGTCTTTATCGTGGTAGACCTGGAAAAATGAAAATGAAATGAAATCAAATCAAGACTCACAGTGATGTTGACATCTTTGTCAAGACGTTTAATAGCAAGAGCCGTCGATGTGCCGATCACTCCTTCACCGATAATCGCCACATTCAGAGCTTGAATACAGACAATTAGGGATTGGAAAAGGAATGCTGATGCGAGAGGGGACATCCTAAAAGCTGATCCTAAAAACAGTTGCCAGTAAACAGGTTTTAGATTTCTCTGGAGAGTTGTAAATAAGATCAAAAGTAAATATTCGGTGTTTATACAGCATTCCAAGTTTTTGTAGTCAATATATTATATTTAACTTTTAATTTTAGCAAAAATCAAGCCTTAGGATCAAGCCTGGACGAAGAAAATGATCAAGAAAGTGTTTTTATTGGGCCAAGAAAATCGCTTTATATATGTCGTAGCCGATTATGAATGAAATTTTTTGGTAAATCTTTCTAGTAGAGCAATGTATGAGGACAATATTATAGCATCCTGTAGTGAATTAAATTCTGCGTCGATTGGTACCAAATTTGTGAGTTTAGGTTAAAAATTACCGTTATTATACAACGTTTCATTCAAAATCGGCGGGACCCCTGTAGCCGATTATGAATTTCAGCAGATTATGAATGAGTGGGTCTAGGAGCGTCCAACCATCAAGTATTTGGTATCATTCAACGCAGAATCATTAATAATTATGTTAAATTTTTAAAATTAGAAAGTTTTGATAAAAAGAAAAAAAATTATGGGCCCTCAAAGTTTCCTCTTGAACAAACAGTTTTTTTGCTCTAATTTTTTTTCTTTTTATCCAATCTTTCTAATTTTGAAAATTTAACATAATTATTAATGATTCTGCGTTGAATGATACCAAATACTTGATGGTTGGACGCTCCTAGACCCACTCATTCATAATCGGCTGAAATTCATAATCGGCTACGACATATAAAACGATTGACTTGACCAAATGAGATAAAATTAGACGCAAAATTGCACGTAGAATCTGAATCTAAAAGCAGATTGAAAAAATATTAATAATAAATTCATAAATAAAGAAATACTGTGGGAAAAGGCTGCTCAAAAATCCGAAAAACCAATTCGATTCTCTTGGGACAACGATTCTGACTCAAGAGTTTTCTTTCTTAATTCTCCAATGATTCCTTATTCCAACAAACTTCTATTTGGTATCATTGGAAAGCTTTAAATCTCCTCTGCATTACTATAAAAAAAGTTTACAATAATACTATCTCTAGACAAAGTTATGAACCTTCCAAGCATCAGTACTCATTCAAGAACTGGACAAAAGCCGTTTTTTTATAGAGAACATTCTAAGCTTTCAAATGATACCAAATAGAGCTTGATTGGACTAGCCAATCCAGAGAAAACAGTAGCTAAACTTGAGCGTCTTGTTTATTGTAGTTTAGAGTTTAAATAAGAAGCTCAAGTTTAGCTGCTGTTTTCTCTAGATTCCCTAGTCCAATCAGGCTCTATTTGGTATCATTCGAAAGCTTTAAATCTCCTCTACATTACTATAAAAAAAGTTTACAATAATACTATCTCTAGACAAAGTTATGAGCCTTCAAAGCAACAGTACTCATTCAAGAACCTGACAAAAGCCGTTTCTTATTTTATTCTTTCAAATAAACCGAATTTTAAATAAAATGATGTGAAAGGCGAAAAATTTTACTAAATTTAAAGCTGAATGTATTTAAATAAGAAAAGGATTGAGGAACACGAGGGAAAAAGGGATATTATTTTTGCCCGAGGTGTCAAGGACGATTTTCATCTTTGAGGTGAAAAAAAAGAGAGATGAACTCCTATATGATGAAAAAGAAAAAGAAACAGAACAATAGTCAAAAGGAACGGAGAATGGAAGGGGAGAGATTGATCATCACTCAAAAATATAAGAGGATAGTCCTCTTATATGATCATCGGGGATTCGTTCGCTTTGTTGGGGTTTTTGTGCTTTGTAGAGTGCGGAGTGGTAGAAGCGCAAGCCGTCTGGCGCAGTACTTTATCTACAAAATTGTCTAAGCTTATAGAATAAAGAAAGTAAAGGCGAAAATTCGACTTTACCATCGAGATTTCCATCAATCGAGATCGAAATTTCCAACGAAACCTGGTTTCTATGCTTTCTCCCTTTGCTCTTTGCTTAGAACTGTATGTGTATTTGAAAACTGTATGTGAAATTCTATTTTACATAATTATTATTATCTAGAGTATTTCTGTGTGTCTGTCTGTTACGCGATTTTAGAAGAAACGGCTGGACTGATTTGGCTATAGATGTAAAATTTTATCTAATTTTAAAAATTCAAATTTATTTTGGGGATTAGCGGGGTGGTTTTTTGTAAAAAGCCGAATTACCGGAGCTCTAAACCTGGTTTCTATGCTTTCTCCCATGCCAGAATCCATAAAAAACATAAGTTTTAGGGTACTTGTGGAGTATCCGGGGGGGTAAAATTTTAAGATCCGGGGGGGTAAAATTTTAAGATCCGGGGGGGTAAAATTTTATATACGTTATATACGACCCCTTTTAAAGATATTCAGCCGCTTAATTAAACGTCGAATTTTTTGGTTTAAGAATTTTTCCCCTCAATATTTTTGCGTTTTTATGCATAACTAAGCATCAGGAATAATATTTAAAAGAAACTACAGTCGACTTTTTCTATAACCGAATGGAAGGGATCCAAAAAAATTAAGCGGCTGAATATCTTTAAAAGGGGTCGTATATAACGTATATAAAATTTTACCCCCCCGGATATTGAAAGACCCCCGGATACTCCACAAGTACCAGTTTTAGTTTTAGTAATCTAAAAATAAACATTAAACATTAAATTAAACATCCCTAAACATCCCTAAACATCCCTAAACATCACTAAACATCATTAAATATTAAATTAAACATCCCTAAACATCACTAAACATCACTAAACATCCCTAAACATCCCTAAACATCACTAAACATCATTAAACATTAAATTAAACATCCCTAAACATCCCTAAACATCACTAAACATCACTAAACATTATTAAACATCATTAAATATTAAATTAAACATCCCTAAACATCACTAAACATTATTAAACATCCCTAAACATCCCTAAACATCACTAAACATCCCTAAACATCCCTAAACATCATTAAACATTAAATTAAACATCCCTAAACATCCCTAAACATCACTAAACATTATTAAACATCACTAAGCATCATTAAACATTAAATTAAACATCCCTAAACATCCCTAAACATCACTAAACATCCCTAAACATCACTAAACATTATTAAACATCATTAAACATTAAATTAAACATTAAATTAAACATCATACATCAACATAAGCCACACATTCGGGTTGACAGACGCTTTAGCGAGATCAGCCACGTGCATTCTAAAAGGAAAACATTAATAAATGAAAAGAAAACCAGAAAAAGTTAAAAGAAATGCAATAAAATGTAAAAATAAAAATCAAAGTCGTTGAATGTGGGGGAAAAATGTAAATTTAGAAATTGCAAAGGATAATTAAAGCTAAATCAAATCATTAAAGGATAATTAAAGCTAAATCAAAAGCTTTTCAATCGCTTAAGACGAGAAAAAGACAAACAATCGTTTGTTTACAAAGTGTTTTCCTAGAGTTAGAGATGATTTTCTGAAGCTAAAGCAAAAATTTTCAAAAAAAGGAAAAAGCTAGGTTCCACCGAGATTCGAACTCGGGTCGCAGGATTCAAAGTCCTGAGTGCTAACCGCTACACCATGGAACCGCGGTTAGAGAGGGCTTTTTAGAATGTTTTGAAGGTTTGGAGGCTTTCCGTGGCTCTTCGGAGATGCTACAAATTCCAGGAAGGATTCAAAATCTAAACAAAAAGAGAAATTAATGGTTTCTAAAATTCGAGGCATTCTGCTGTGTCAAAAATTTCTTTTAGTTCTATCTGCGCCCAAGTTTTTGGGATCAATGCTTGCCGTAAATTTGGCTATATTTTTGCTACAAATTCTAAATCCTGTGAAATCGTTTTGCTACTTAAAACAGCAGCTAAACTGAAAGAACAATGCGATCTGATTTGAGCATTTTGTCTTCTGATTTACTTAGAACTGTATGTGTATTTGAAAACTGTATGTGAAATTCTATTTTACATAATTATTCTTATATAGAGTATTTCTGTGTGTCTGTCTTTTATGCGATTTTAGAAAAAAACGGCTGAACTGATTTGGCTATAGATGTAAAATTTTATCTAATTTTAAAAATTCAAATTTATTTTGGGGATTAGCGGGGTGGTTTTTTGTAAAAAGCCGAATTACCGGAGCTCTATTACCGTATAAAAACTCAGGCCGGATGGCCTTTATAAGCGAGGCCGAGCGGTCACGTTTAGAGGGGGCCTTTTGAGGGTTTGGAGGCTTTCCGTGGCTCTTCGGAGATGCTACAAATTCCAGGAAGGATTCAAAATCTAAACAAAAAGAGAAATTAATGGTTTTTAAAATTTGAGGCATTCTGCTGTGTCAAAAATTTCTTTTAGTTCTATCTGCGCCCAACTTTTTGGGATCAATGCTTGCCGTAAATTTGGCTATATTTTTGCCACAAATTCTAAATCTTGTGCAAATTATTTTGTTACAGCAGTTTGTTTTAAAACAGCAGCCTTGATTCGAAAGTGAACATTTGACTTCTTTGACTTTAAATAGCCAAATTTTTGAAAGACAAGTTTAAAACAAATTTCAAAAACGCCAAAAGCATTAGTTTTCACCAAGTTAGATTAAACAGTTTTACCAAAAATAGCAAAGAAAATAGCTTTGCTTTTAGCTTTTATTAAAAAAAAAATCGTAGTCGGTTTTAAGTTGAATGAAGAAGAAGAAGTGACGAGAGAATGTGAAGAAATCATTCACAGAAATGTGAAGAAATCATCGATATCAAAATCCAAATAGTAAACATCTTCAAAGTCTGAACAAAACAAATGTCTACACGCCTTTTGCGTTTTTAAAACACGTCAATTTTCCCTTTCTACCGTAGTTCTGTCTCTAATTTCTCCAATCTATCTATTTTTTTTTGGTTAATTTCTGGGAGGATCACAAGAGAGATTTAAGGATAAAAAAAAGTGGCTAAATTGAATAAAAATAAAGGCGCAATTACCGTATTTTCTCTAAATACCTGAATTAAGGCGCATTTACCCCGGCGAGCCGAGTTGAAGGCGATTTT